TGGATACCGTTGTTTACCTACTCAGAATATATTTTATTTCCATTATGAAGCAGCCATGAAATTGATAACCTACAAACTCTGGGCAGGCTGGAGAGGGGTGGGGAGATGGGGAGGTAAGGGGAAGAAAGAAAAGTGGGTGGGGGAACCCAGCTAGCTTAACACAGAGACAGGGCTGGGACTTCCGTGGTGGGTCAGTGGCTGAGACTCTGCACCCCCAGTGCGGGAGGCCTGGGTTCAACCCCTGGTCAGGGAGCTGGATCCCACATGCTGCAACTAAAGACCCAGTGCGGCCAGATAAACAAACAAGTATTTTCAAATGAAAGTAAACAATGTAGGGCCTGGCTAACCTAATCTAATCAGCATTTCTTTGGTGAGAAGATGACCTAAGCTACTTCGGTGTGAAGCCAAGGGCTTTTACTGAACTGGGCACTGCTGGTGGGGGCTGAGAGGTGTGTCTCTTCTCCGCCTGCTCTGTGTGGTGTGGAATGCACGTGTGAGGCTTCCAACTGCTGCAACCTGGGTCACCACAGAGAAAACCAACCTGAGGAGAAAACCCACATGAAGAAATGGCTTGGGGGCCTGACAAACTACTCTTGGAGCCTTCTCTTACCTTAATATTTCACTGGCGTGAGCCTTTGTTTCTTGTATTAATCACACCAATTGGAGTGGTTCTCCATTCTAACTGCTAAAAAATTCACAAAGGAGTGTCTGAGCTAGAATTTGAAAAATGGTCAAGGCTGAAGCCTAAAGGGTTGTAAGGAGACAATCCAGGTAAAAAGAATAAACACTTAGGAAAGTAGCAAATTTCTGTGGCTAAATGTAACTTGTGTTTGACTATAATAAAGACTGGATGAGGACACAGCACGAAAGTGATGGTTGGGGTAAAGGTTTCAGAGGAAACGAATGCCTGGATATCATTCTATGGCATGACAGTTTCCAATTATTAATAACCATGAAACCGTATTAGAAAAATCTCACCCCCCGCTTTTATATTTATTTACTTATTTTAAAATATAGATTATTTATTACTAGAATAAAGCTTTAGTGTTGTTCTTCCCATATCCTAGTGCCTGTGCTTTCACTTAAATATGCTCATGCTTCTTTGGGATGTACCGTAAGACCATGACAAGCCACGACAAATTTTGAAACAAAAGCATAATGTGATTACTATACCACAGAAAGATTTATCTGAGGGCAACATCTAAAATTATTCTAAATAGATATCCTGGAAATAGGGCAATTTGTTACAGGTTTTGTGTAATAAGCCAATAATCCAAGAATAACTGGGATCCTTAATCTGTGTAGAGGCAACGGTAAAGAAGAGAAGGAGGTGAATCTCATAGCTATTGTGCGTGCATCTGTGCCAAGTTGCTTCACACATGTTTGACTCTCTGCGACCCTATGGACTGTAGCCCACCAGGTTCTTCTGTCCATGGAAATTTTCAAGCAAGAAACCTGGAGTGGTTTGCCATCACCTCCTCCAGGAGATCTTCCCAACCCGGGGATTGAACCCATGTCTCCTACGGCTCCTGCACTGCAGACCGATTCTTTACCACTGACCCACCAGTGAAGCAGATAGAATTGATTAAAAATATGTGTTAAATATCAACCCCAGGCCAGTCACTTGACAGGACCTCAATACATTATACTAGTTTCCTTTTTATTTCTCTAGAATTGACCCATACATACTTAACAAAGGGGATAAACTGGACTCAACATTAATCAGGCCAAGTTTGTGGCTGAAACCATGAATGCTTTCAAGATTGGGAGTAAGAGCCAAAAAAAAAAAAAATGCATTTATGATCTCCCTTAGGTTGGACATTGGAAAACTGGAAAAGCTATAAACGAAAAATAAGGAAATCAGGATTATCAAAAGAGCCTAGTTGAAAGTTAACCAAGTGGGCCAAGACTGAGATGAAAGCCCTGGAGAAAGCGATCTTTTGTGAATGGAAGATGCAATCTTTTGTGAATAAGCAATGCTGTCAAGTGATTAGAGGCATCAGTCTGCCTGAACCACATAAATGTGACATTCAGTGCAGTATGAGCAGCAACATTTGAAGAGTGATTCTGACTGACCCTGACAAAGTTACACTTTGTTGACATGCAATGTTTCCCTGCCGTCATTAGCAAAAGCTATATCCAGAAAAATTGTATTGAGCACAAAACTGAGTGTTTTGAGTACATTACTAAATGTAAACTGAAATTCAAATACCAAGTATAAATGCTAGACAGGAAATAAACCAGCATAATAATAAATTTAGTGACACTCTGTAAAGTAATTATTTCCTACTTAGAGAGATACTCTGCCAGGCACTTAAAGAAATGCCAGTGATCTAGTTTCAGCAAATATTCTAATGTTTGTCATTAAAGATTATGAAAATTTCATTTACAGAGCATTCAATACTTTGCTTTCTTTTTTACTGTTCTTTATATTTACATGTCATTATGCTTTAAGAAATGCTTTTTTTTTTGGTTAAAGTATTCTGGGTAATATGCACTGGTGTGAAACAGTCATTTTTCATGATTTGTCGATGAGTTTATGGCTCATTTCTTTTCCTCATGCATTTATCTATTTCTACACATCTAAACAAATAGAAGTTTATAAAAAAAGATCACAATGTACATATTTTAAATGTATAAACACATGAATTTTACATTTTTGTGAGCTATTACAAAAATGTTCAGCATTGAATAAACTGTGAAACTCATTAAATAGGTATTTTGATGTATTTTTAATTTCTATTTATTTAGGCCATGAGCACATGATCTTAGTTCCCCAACCAAGTATCAAACAGTGTCCCCTGAGTGGAAGTGCAGTTTTAACCACTGGACCATGAAGGAAGTCCCTATTTTTTTTAAATACTATCAAACAGTTGATCTGATTGGAAAATAGAAAAAGATCATCTTACTAGAATCATTCAGAGCTTTATCTTTAGCATGTAGCTTCCAGACAGAAAAAGAATGGAACTTTTTGGTTTCCCTGGTGGCTCAGGCAGTAAGGAATCCGCTTGCAGTGTGGGAGAGGCAGGTTTGATTCCTGGGTCAGGAAGATTCCCTGGAGAAGGGAGTGGCTACCCACTCCAGTATTACAAGCTGAGGGCCCAAACCAATAAACCTATTCATGTAGAAATTTCCCTTTCACCCTCTTTCAAGTTCTGCAAAGACGGATCCATTCCCAAGCAACTATGAGTAATCACTCTTCAAATATTTTCAGCAGTTGTAAAACATTCCTTTTGAAAAATTAATGCTTACTTAAATCTTAATACTTATGCTTCTGGATATTGTTGGAAGCATTTTTCTGTAAACGTATTTCTGCACTTAATAACATAGAATGTCACCTACTACTTCTCAGCATGATTTCCTGAGAAAAGAAGTTGGCTGGGAAACCTGGGTTCCAGTCCAAGCTCTGGTCACTAAGAGTTGTAAGATTTCAAACAAAATTCTAATCTACCTAAAAGTCAACGTCTTTATTTGCCTCTAAATCTCTCAGAACCTGGATTTTACACCACTGCATCACTTAGTGCTGTTTGTAAAACAAAAGCCTACATATATTATCAAATATTGTCATTAAAAACAATTCCAGCTGATCCTTGAACAACGCTGGCACAATGTCCCTCTGCACAGTCAAAAATCTTATTATAACTTATACTAGGTCTTGCACATGCCTGCATGCAAAGTTGCTTCAGTCATGTCCAACTCTGCAACCCATGGATGGTACCCCACCTGGCTATTCTGTCCATGGGATTCTCCAGGCAAGAATACTGGAGTGGGTTTCCATTTCCTCCTCCAGAGGATCTTCCCTACCCTGGGATTGAACCTAAGTTGAATCATATGTCTCCTGCATTGGCAGGTAGGTTCTTAAACACTGGTGCTCCCTGGGAAGCCCCACCCTTACCATATTTATATTTTATTATTTCAGACAATCTGAAAAGACTACATATGCATCTTCCTTATAGAGACATAGTCATATATTTTAGCCAGTTATGTTAAAAACACTTTGGAAGATACTTGACATCTATCATCTCGTTTAATTATCAAGAGAAAATATAATTAACACTATTTCCATTTTTAAGTTGAAAAAAATAGAGGACCAGGCTATTTAAACTATTTTTCCAAAGTCCCCCAGTTTCAAACAGTTTCATTTTAAAGCCTCTGATTTTTCTTTTGTACTACACTACTGTAGTTTTCCTAAAAATTTTTCCTTCAGTGTTCCTGAAGTTCCATAATGTTACCTGTAAAACAAAAAGAGAGAGAGAGGGAGATTTACTTGTAATAAAAATAACAGTACCCACTCTTTATTAACATAGATATTGTGTTACAACCTGGTTCAATTCCCACATCAACCTATCAAGGCAGATATTGTTACTCCTATGTTACAGACAATGGATTTAAGACTCAAAAACCATAAGGGGCTTGTTCAGATACCAGAGCTAGCAGACAACAGAACCAGAATTTGATCACAAATGCAACTATTTGATACTAAAGACCGTACATTCAACCACTACTCCAAATGTGTAGATCTAGAGATGCTTGGAATAAATTTTATTTATAGAGATCATATTAAAATCCTTCAGGTTGTCTGGCACAAGAATTAAGGAAACATTAAAAACAATGAAAAATGATAACAGGTGAAACTGTGCAGGAAGAGAGGAGCAGTATGAGAGCTCTGTATAATTTCTGCGCAGTTTTTCTATGGATCTAAAACTGCTCTAAAAGATAAAGTCTAGTAATTTTAAAAGATTATGTTGTCTTTGAGCTCCCTTACAATCAGATGAAGGCTTTTAGTACTAAGTTATTGATAAGCTCTGAAACACCTGAAGCACAGTTCTATGAACTGTAAGGATCCAGGTATCATGACCACAGACAGGTGATTTACCTCCTAACAAATATGCAACTGCTTTTGGAAGGAGTAGAAAGGTGCTTTAAAAAATTAACTGGCAATAAGAAAAGAAAAAAAAAATTAACTGGACAAAATCTACCATACAAAAACCATTTTATTATCAGTGAAGTTGAACACTGTCCCCTGCCGCACAATGCCTGTCTGTTCCTTTAATTCCTGTGCCTGACCACATCATTGCAAGAGCTCTTGGTACCTTGTTGAAAATGCTGATTATTGATTCTTCCATGGGATTGTGCCGCTGGACTTGTTTCCACAGGTCTACTGCATAGCCCCTGACAACTATTTGATTTCCAACTGAGAAATACAGATCATACAAATGTTAATAAGAGAGCTATACATTATAGTAATAGCTTTCACATTAAATTTTAAGTCAAAAAATTATAAATTGATACATATACCCACTTCTAAGAAGTAATTTATACTCTAGTTCATCATTAAAAGTTTTTAACATCTGGTAAATTACATAATTCTCATTTAAAAGCATTCTATTATTTAACTTTTGCTAATAATATTACCATTTAGCAAAAATTATATTCTATGTACTCTAAAAGTAAGTAATAAAGTCTTATGTCTCACAAAAGGAATGGACAGAGTCTCGTATGACTATAATTGTACAATTCAGTCCAATTAAAATATCACTAGCCTCTTCTTTCTGAAATATTTACAGATATTGTCTATACACTGAACATTGTTAGTTTCTACACTTCTAGTTGAATTTATTCCACAGTACAAACAGAAACTTCCAAGGTGGCTCAGATGATAAAGTGTCTGCCTACAATGTGGGAAACCCGGGTTCGATCTCTGGGTCGGGAAGATCCCCTGGAGAAGGCAATGGCACCCCACTCCAGTACTCTTGCCTGGAGAATCCCATGGACGGAGGATCCTGGTCGGCTGCAGGCCATGGGGTCACACGAGTCGAATATGACTGAGCAACTTTACTTTCACAAATAGAAACATTTGTATTCTGTTCCTTCTACCTTTGGTAGTTTAAAAGATATTCTATTGCTTTATTTTATATTTTCATGAATTATCATCTAGACTCTAAATATCACCCATTCAGACCTTGCAAGGTATTGAAAATGTAAAGAAATCAGAAAAATAAAGCATATATGACAGAATAACTGGAGGATATATTGATTTTAAAATGGATAAAATTAGATATATATGTTGTAGAGAAGAAAGTAATATAATTTAGTCATACAGGGAAGGAGAGATGAGTGATACATATTTTAAAAGGCATTTTTTTTTCCTTTTTTTTCTATTTTTTAAATTTATTTATTTATTTTATTTTGGATTGGGTGGAGAGGGAGGTGGGAGGGGGGACCGGGATGGGGAATACATGTAAAAAAAAAAAAAAAAAGATACACTATGGTTGTGATTAAAAAAAAAAAAAAAGGCATTTTTTAAATGTAGGAAAATAATTATTTTATCTGAGTAACTGAGTCAAATAAGAGACATGTGTTGATGCTTGTATAGAATACACATTATAAAACTTTAATAGGAAAGCAATTAGATACTACAAATATTACACAATATTGCAGCGACCTGTGTAAGAAGATATAAAAAATGAACAGTGGCATAAATAGCCCTTAGGGATTTAGTGATTCAAACTATATTGACCCAGAGAGATTGTGGTTAAGTTCTGAGTTTTAAAAAATAGTGATTTAATTCCTCTCTTCATTGAGCTTATATTTCATTTAGGAAGATATGCAATAGCAACTAATGTTTAGAGCTTGGCAGAAGCATAATAGAAAATTAAGAGTGTGGCTGTGAATAGCAGAGAGAGCCTCTCTCGAGAAGTAACGTTTGCACTGTGACATGAGGGATAAGAAGTAAAAGGATAGCAAGAGTAGGCACAAGATGTCTCCAGGAAGAGGGTAGAGCAAGTGCAAATGTCCTAGGGTGGGAAAATAATTTTGCCACAAAAAGAACTTTTATCCAAGAGTGTAAGTGCGTGAGGGAGTTAGTAGCATGGAATGAGACTGAAGGGTGACCATGTTCCTGATATCTCACGGTCTAATGGACAATAAAAGGTGCTGGAAAAGTAGTCTGAATGCAATAGAAACCATGAGTGAGGCTTTTTATAACTTTATAAATATCCAGGGCTGCGCTGTGTCTTCCTGGCTACCGGCGGACTCTTCTCCAGTTGCGGGGAGTGGGGGCCGCTCTTCACTGCGGTGCTCGGGCTTCCCATTGGAGTGGCTCCTCTTGCTGTGAACCCCAGACTCCAGGGTGCATGGGCTTCAGTAGTTGTGGGACAGCTGACCCTTGAAGAGCAGTGGGTCTGAACTCTACAAGTTCACTTTCATGTGGATTTTCTCTTTCAATAAATACATAGAAAGTACTACAAAGGGCTTACCAGGTGGCACCATGATAAAGAATCTTCCTGTGAATGCAGGAGACACAAGAGACATGAGTTCAATCCCTGGGCAGCCCACTCCACTGTTCTTAACTGGAAAATCTCATGGACAGAGGAGCCGGGTGGGCCACAGTCCATGGGGTCAGGAAGCGTCGGACACGACTGACCACAGTCCCACAAAAGCTGCGGGTGGCTGAATGTGCAGGCGTGTCACACGGATACAAAGGGCCAACTGTGAAATTCCACTCAGGTTTTCTACTGTGTAGAGAGTTGGAGACTCTAACCTCTGCACTATTCAAAAGTCAACTGTAATCTAAAAGAGAGGATGGTGACTTGATATAGAGGGACAGAAGGAGAAAGAGAAAAGAGGGCTAACTGTAAATGTATCTTTGAAGTAGATTTGACTGGCCTTCCTAATGGAAAAGATGGAAATAATAAGGAAAAATACTTCATACTTTGTTTTATGAGAGAGTATGAATGGATGGTGGTGCCAAGCAAAGGTGTAAGAAAGAAACCTAAACTGGATTTGGGGAATAAGAAAATCATTAAATCTATTCTTGTTAAATTTGAAACAACTTAAGCCTGTTTGAGTGAATATGTCAGTAAGACAATTGGATACATGAATCTGAATCTTCGGAGAAAGGTATGAACTATAATTATATATGTATATATATATGTGTGTGTGCGTGTGTGTGTCCCTTTATGACCCCATGGACTGTAGTCCACCAGGCTCCTCTGTCCCTGGGATTCTCCAGGCAAAAATACTGGAGTGGGTTGCCATTTCATCCTCCCGGGGATCTTCCCAACCCAGGGATTGAACCCACATGTCTTGCATCTCCTGCACTGGCAGGCAGATTCTTTACCACTGAACCACCGGGGAAGTTCTATAAATATATTTATCTATATACGTATGTTGAAATTAGAACAGGTAAGGGGTGAGTGCAGACAGAGAACTTAGCAAGACCCATATCAAGTCCTAAGGAACATCAACAAAGTAGACTGAAATGGAGCAAAGTATAAGACAAAATATAGGAATTGTTAATATTCACTATAATGCTATTGAAAAATGTGAATAATGAAGAATCTTATGAGATGCTTAATTTCAAAATGCTATCAAAAAAAATCTTCAATCCCTTAGGACTCTCAAAGCAAATATATATATATATATTAACATGAAAGTACTACTTTATTGAGTTAAGAGATATGGACTATAGCCCACCAAGCTCCTTGGTTCATGGAATTCTCCAAGCAAGAATGTGGATTGGGTTGCCATTCCCTCCTCCAGGTGATCTTCCTGACCCTGGGATCAAACCCAGGTCTCCTGCATTGCAGGTAAACTCTTTACCAACACAGGGAAGCTGTGGCTTCCCTGGTGACCCAGATGGTAAAGAATATGCCTGCAATGCAGAAGACATGGGTTTGATCCCTGGGTTTAGAAGATTCCCTGGAGGAGAGAATGGCAACCCAATCCAGTATTCTTGCCTGAAGAATTCCATCGTCAGAGGACTGGAGGACTCCAGTCCATGGAGTCACAAAGAGTCGGACATGACTGAACAACTAACACTTTCACTACTTTATTATTATTCAGAAAGCTGTGTTTTCTGAAATGTCTATTCAATTGCACTGAGGAAAGGTTTCCAGTTGACCATTTGCTCCCAGAAAAAAAAAAAAATTGCTATGATTCTGAATTCTTCAAAAAGCTACTGGACTTTTCAGTCCTGAAACTAATTTCCATTCATCTTGAGAGCAACGAGGGAAAGCCAAGGAGGGCTGTTACAGAGCAGAGGCCAATTTAGAGAGAAAATCATCAGTAAGTTGTCATACTTCTCCACCTCCTTTCAAGTATAGCACATTTCAAGTAAAGAACATTTGGAAGAGCCAAATGTTATTCCTTGCTGAGGGCTAATAAAAAGAACAAAATGTATGAAGTTTCACTGAAAATAGTTCTAAATTTAGACTGAATATAATTATGTATACCATGGTACAACATAACCATGCTTAGTCATTCATCATGATTCCAGTTTTTGTATGATAAGAAGGAGAAATTCAAAAGAGGAAATTGTACCAAGTAGTAGGCACTTAACAGTGGTATGAAATTTTTGAAAGGCAAAATAACTTTACAGATTAAACCGAGGAATAGCATCCTCAGAATTGTATAAATCCCCTGGATTGAAAGGAATGGAGGATCTTCTCTGTTTAAGAAATAATGGTAACTGTCTAGGTGCTGTAGATGCTACGGTAAACAAGAGACAGAAGTGTTGCTTTTTGTTACTTCACATTCAATAAATAAGCAAATGAGAAAGTAAACCTTTCTCTGCCTGCAATGCAGGAGACATGGATTAGATCCCTGGGTCAGAAAGATCCCCCAGAGGAGGAAAGGGAAACTCACTCCAGTATTCTTTTGTTTTTTTCTATTTCCTATTCTTTTTTTTTTTCTTAATTGAAGGATAATTGTTTTACTGAATTTTGTTGTTTTCTGTCAAACCTCAACATGAATCAGCCATGTGAAGTGAGTGAAGTCACTCAGTTGTGTCTGACTCTTTGCAACCCCATAGACTGTAGCCTACCAGGCTTCTCTGTCCATGGGATTTTTCCAGGCAAGAATACTGGAGTGGGTTGCCATTTCCTTCTCCAGGAGATCTTCCCGACCCAGGGATTGAACCCAGGTCCCCCGCACTGCAGGCAGATGCTTTACCATCTGAGCCACCAAGGGAGTCCATAGGCGTACATATATCCTCTCCCTCTTGAAGCTCCCTCCCATCTCCCTCCCCAAGCCTCCCCCTAGGTTGACACAGAGCCCCTGTTTGAGTTCCCTGAGACACACAGCAAATTCCCATTGGCTATCTATTTTACACATGGTAAAGTAAGTTTCCATGTTACTCTCCATACATCTCACCCTGCCCTCCCCTCTCCGAATGTCCATAAGTCTATTCTC